TTGTTATTATATTTAATTAAAATATATATAGATTTATTTAATTGGCAAATAAATAAAACAAGAAATTAAGAGCACGCAGAGGATGCTCATTTCTCTTTGATTGTTTTCGTCTCCTGTCATGGTGGCAGACATTGCAGTGGGAGGGAGGGTGAGAACAGCCTCGTGCTCCTTCTGCTTGGTTCTTGCTTATTGCTCCTAGGACAGTGTTCATAGTTGAGTGTTGCTTACTGTTAGGGCATAGTCTTAATTGCTATGTTTAATGGTGCAGACAGTTAATTTCTGACATGGGCGATATGGGGAACCACCCAGGGTGTTATGTTTTTAGGGATGGCAGGAGACCTCTGGATTGTAGCACAGAGATGGAAACAAAGCAGAACAAATAGTTTGAAATGATAATGATATTGGTTAAAGTTATTTCAGCTCTAAGTATTTAATATCTAGGTGTTTTTATGGGAATGTGGATCTTTCAGATCAATTTGAGAAGCAATTTTGACAGGTGCACTTCATTTTATTGGTCTTGGGTTAGGTGGCCTTGACTACAACAGTGCTACATGGCTACATCCTTGGTTCCATGTCCTCCCCCACCCACCTTCTTTCCATCCCCTTTCTGTTGGATTTCTTTCAAAATAAAAGTGACTAGTCACAAAAAAAAGTGAAGTTCATGCTATGTTAGGACAGGAGACAAGATGTTTCCATCCCTGAAATTATGAGCATAGAATCACATATCTAAGTCTAAACTATGTTACAGAGTAAACACAATAAAAACATGCTTTATGGCATTGTTCATTAAATGGCACATTTCTAATGTATTAAAATTAAATACGATCGGTTCACTTAATGATATTGTATTAGCGATTGGGTAATGCATTCAGCAAGTACTTTTACTTTTAATACTTAAGTATTTTTTAAAAGTCAGTACTTTTTTACTTTTACTTAAGTAAAATGTTAATGTGGTACTTTGACTTTTACTTGAGTACTTTTTTGCCTGTGTATTTGTACTTTTACTTAAGTACATTGTTTGAGTACTTTCTCCATCACTGCTTTCAGGCGCTCGGAAAGACATGTTTTTTAGAAGGGCTGGCCTTTTCTGATGCATCTGAAATGCTTCTTCTGTAGAGTGTAAGATAATACTGCATAATTAATAATTTTTGGAGTGCTGTGGTGGCGCAGGGGCAAAGCACAACCCACGTATTAAGGCCTTGTGGCGGTGGTCGCCGGTTCGATTCCCACCCTGGTGACATTTGCCGCATGTGTTCCCCCTCTCTCATTACCCTCTTTCCTGTTGAACTACTTTCAAATAAAGGCCACTAGAGCCAACAAAACCTTAAAAAAGATAATGAATTATTTTTTTAAAACACAAACTGGGGGCACAAGTTTGAATTTAGTGTGGATTTTCTTTCATCAACATGGAGCCAAAATGCACGATATCTAAAATATATACCTAAACCTCCAATAATGTTCGTTTAAATGTCCCTTAACAAGTGGCACAATTCTGAGTGTATATTTCACCACTCTTTATGGCAAAAATGGTCAAATTCATTTAAATTGACTGCTTACTGGGGCACCGAATCAGGTTTTTAAGCACAGTCTCTAAATTTTGAAGTGAGTTCTTCTTAGAAAACTCAGTCATGATAAAAAAATAAAAATAAATTAACAATATAGGGCTAGGGTCAACAAGCTGTCCTCCTCAAGTGAAAGTAAATACTGGTTAGGTTGTTTAGGATTTGGAACCATAAACAAGTATATAAATTATATAAATTTGTTATAAAAGTATTACTGATTGCACTTTAAAAATTAGGTTATGTTATTAAAGGTAAAGTTTAAACAGTAATGATTTATTGGTTAATGTCAAGATGTCATAACGAAGACATTTTGAATAATGTCAACTTTGTATTAAAAGTGTCATAATTTACCGAATGACGCTTTATGACAACAGTCATAACTATTCATGAAGACTTATTCATGTTCATGACAGGTGTTATGTCATGTTTATGACAGTGTCATGACAGTCTTATTCAACCCCCTTCAAATCAAGTGTTACCGAAAAAATATTCAGGAGACATTAAACGTAAAAAGAATCAGCTGAAATTTCGAACAAGGCAACGTAATCTCTCTGAGAATTCCCCGTAGGGAAAATGTTTAAGACAATAACTGCACTCATCTGTAACACTGACTTAGGGTGTATTCACAAAAGCCGTTTAGTCCGCTTTAATCAGACCCTAATCCATTTGTCTAGAAAGTCAGATTTGTTTGGGGAGTGTGAATGCAAATTTGAATTCCCAAACGGACTAAATAAGTGAACTCTGATTCTCCTAAAAACCAAGGTGTCGGTCGGCTGAAGTGAACTCTGATGCGGTTGGAAGGCAGTGAGAATGCAACTGGACTGGAGACTGTTCCAAAGAAGGAAGCTAACTGCAGCGCAGGGCATTCTGGTCAATATATTACTATCTGCTCTGCAGTTAACAGAGATATTGTGAGAAGTTGTTTTACTCCTGTTTATCAGCTTATTTTCCCCTTTGCTGTGCTGCACAAATTATTAAATTATTGTTAAATTATTAACTAATAAAAAGAAATTTGCTTAGGCCTCTCTTGCATGTTGACAGAAACCAAACTTCATAGATTTATGTCCAAAGAGAATACATATTTTACATATGAAAACATCAGAAGTCTCTTCAGCTTTAATTCAAGCCATGTTCATAGAATTCGGGTAAAAAAAAATAATGGCGCTATGATCATTTTTGTGATGGATTCTTGCTTATCCCACATTGGAACAGTGAAGTCTGGTTTTGTGGACATGACTCACTACACTCTAAGAAATAATCCTGTAAATTTACAGTCAAATACTGGCAGCTATAGACGCCAGAAGTTTACTGTAAATGCACAGTAGCTGTACCATAATTAATCCTGACGGTAGATTACCGTCAATGCAAGTACGGTATAGATACTGTGAAAGAACGGTAAACTTCTGGCGTCTGTAGCTGCCAGTAGTTTACCGTTTTTCTGAAAGACCAATGAAAAAAATACTGGTACACACGCCAGTTTTTTTTGTTTTTTTTACCATTCTTTCAAAAAAACGGTAAAAAAAATTTTTTTTAAAAAGCTGGCGTTTGTAGATACCAGTATTTTACCTTTTCAATCCTGTAATTACCTTTTAAAGTGTAGTACTGCAAGTAAATACTGCAATGACTCCAACACACCGCAGATGTAGTACCGTCAACAGGGTTTATTAGAAATAAGAGCGAGCTGCTATTCCTTAGTCTGCACCCCGCACCTCTAACAAACCGTTAGACACAACTGAATAGC